CCCTCCCATAATGTGATAAGAGTGGAAGTACTTAGAGTTGATAAAAGTAGAAACATATGCATGTGATTAAGAATGGTCGTCATCAATCAGGGTAAAAGATAATAAGTTAGAGTTATGGCTCAGTCTGTATGTGGTATGCAGTGCAGTTACAATTCATATCTATTTTGCGGGGTTTGCAACGTCAAAGAGCCAAGAAGGTCTTAAATCTGCCATCTGTTTTACTCGTCCCAGATACATTTTGGAACTTTGATTGCAAAACTACCTGATAGGTGTTGAATATGCAACAGAGGTCTCACAATTATACATGCCAATGACATTTTAACAAATGAAATGTGGGTAAATATGTAGTTCTCATATAAAAGTATTATAATCTGGGTGACTCATAAAAATAGAAGAGCTTAAGTAATTTTCCGCCCATGTTTCTTCTTAATCTTGATGGTGGGTAAAATATTCCATGTGCATGTGTTGCTTGTGTCATACCTTGAAGTTTACTGATTAAAGCTGTCCATCCTTGAACAACATTGTCCATACTGCATAATTTAATTGTACATATTAAAGGAAAAGGATATTAGTAGTATAGATGTGCATATGGGTTTGTGTATCGCATTCTTATTTTGTGTGTGTCAGGGTTTTCCCCTATTTTATATGTGATTGACTCTTTAATGCTCATGAATCTTCTGAAATTTACTGAAGGCTGAGGATAGAGCTCATAGGCGAGGGCAAACAAATGCAGTCAACATATACATCTTTTGTGGAAAGGTGCTTTTTTCTTGTGTATATGGAAGTTCTGTGAATTTGTTCTATGTTTACCTTTTAACTGGAGTCTGACATGGTGTAGGATACCGTAGATGAGTCACATTGGCAAAGCTTGAATAAGAGTTTGCACCGTGTATCATCTACAACAAACGGAAAATATGATGCAATACAAGAGATAGCGGTACTTTTCATCTCTGAATGCTCCTTTCAATGCTAATTGGTTTTTAAACCTCTTTGCTGTGTTCTTCATTTCAAAACAGTTATACCAATCCAAATCATTGGCAGTGTGGTTTTGGTTTCCCATTTGTTATATAGGATTTAACATCATATTTTGGGTTTGGCAGGTTGAAGGTGTTTCTTTCTTTGAGACATCAGGTGGATCTGATTCTTGTGAATATCATATATTGCAAAGGACAGAGGGTGATGAGGTCTCTGCAGAGCCAATAAAATTACCTGACTTTGGCTGCTTAGCCAAGGATATGAAGCCTTATGAGGCATATGAATTATTAGTCACAAACATTCTACACAGATCTGCACAACATAGTGATCCTGATGGAAGTTCATCCCAAACTGACAGTTGTCTTATCAAGGTAAAACCTAATCGTATAAACTTCACCTTCTTTTAGGTACAAGATTGAACATTTTTTGCCTTTTTTTTCATGATATAAATTAATCCATTTGGGGGGATGATCTATACCAATTTTGGTGAAACAGGCTGATGTGGTTTCTGATTTGGAAAAGAGCACTGAAGACATAGATGGACTTGAAAAGGTACATCTGAACTGAATTGATCTTGACTACAAAGAAAGAGATGAGTTTTTCCCCTTTCCAGTTTAAAGTTAAAATGGAAGAAGTTTTATAAATTACAAAAAACACAGGAACACCAAATCAACAGTCAACCAACCAAACTAAATGATGGTGAACCAGTTCAGCCACTTGAAGCTGAAGAAAGCAGCACTCTAGATGCCCTGCGATTTGAGGTAAAATTTGTAACCTGGTTCTTGGGTTCCCTGTTTGCACTGGTCAAAGGCTGAAGATTGCAACATGTGCAAACATCATGCGGTAGATCTCAGTAATGACTAATTGTGTTGCAATGAAATCTTTGTGGTTTCAAGCAATCATCTAATGGACATTCTCTCTAGACTATTGTTGGTTTATTTGTATTGATTGCCTCCATTGTGTGTGGTTTACTTTAGTTAGTTTAGCAGTACATAGGATTCAATCAGACAAGACAAGTAGTAATCTATCCTAACTTTCTTATGTGGATATTAGGTGAGCCAATACACTGGCCGGATCCACTTGTATTCATGCATCTCAGGAGAGGATTCAAGACCAAGGCCAATGTTTGAGAATTTTAGACCAGAGGAACTTGAGGCACTAAATTCTCCTGCTGCTAACAGTATTAAAGAAACAGCTTTTAATTCTTTGAAGGACAATCCAGCCTATGTACAAGCTATTCTTGCATTCATTGAAGAATGGAAGAAGCTGAGGCCCATCGAACAAAAAAGATTACTTGGAAAGCCTTTGCAACTTCCGTTGACTGTTGAGTTGTGCTATCTGTGCGAAGGCATTAACCATGACATCAGGGTACAATTATACAAATCTGAACTTTGCTGGATATTCCTTTGTTGGAGTAAACTTGCTCATCTTTGCTCTGTTCATCTATTTTTAGTTCATATCAGTGTCTTCTATAGATGGGTTGCTAGAGTTTACACATAACAATCATTTTCTTTTCTGACAGGGACTGCTGAAGGGTGGAAGCAAGCGCCGATCTACACCTTTTTATGAGATCAGCCAACCTTTACCATCAAACGCTGTGTGGAAAAAAGTCCATCTACGTAGTGGCTATGGAAAAAAGGAAAAGGAATATGCTCAGGCTTATACTCTGACTGATGAACCTCTCTGTAAACTCTGTCAAACACCATGCAAGTAAGTCCTCTATAAATGGTTTATGATACAGTTATTTGTGTTGGATACTTACTGTACTTGATTTCAGGGGCCACAATGCGAAGACACCCGAGTATTTTGAAGATCTGTTCTGCAATCTTGGTTGCTATGAAGAATACCGCATCCGAACCAGTAACAGATCTCTTCGTCAAGTAAGTATATGAAATATGTTATTTGAGATAATCTAGTTTTTTTTGCCATGAATTTGAGATAATCTAGTTTTTTTTTCTTTTTTGCCATGAATTTGAGATTTTCATCATATACTTTCCTTAGTTGTACTTTAATTTTACGCATGTGATAATTATAACTGAAACTCTTGCTGCTTTCTGGATATTTCCTCTCCTTGTTATTTACTTGATTCATTGTTTTAAGATTTACATGCTCATGATTTTCAGGAACTTTTTCAACTAGAACATGGTGTCTGTGCAAATTGCCAATTAGATTGTCATAAACTTGTGGAGCACCTAAGACCATTATCATTGGCAAGGCGAAGGCAGTATATCGAAAAAGTTGCACCACGGGTGGCAAGGCTGAAGAAACCGTAAGTCATTAGAAGGAATTTTTTTTTGACTTTTTGGATTGTTTTAGTTGCTGTTGACGGGCAGAAGATTATAAATCTTGTACATTGTTTATACTTCCGTGCTTCTTTAAAATATGTCTGATTATGACAGTAAGATTTTGTAACTTGGAGAGTGTAATGCACACCATAAGCAGGCACATTAAACAGACATTTCATTAAACTATTTTGGGAACAGAAATTGTCATGCAACTAGTTAGATTTTTTTTCTTCTTTTCTAATGCATCTGCTAAATACCTAAAATTTGTACTTTTCAAATACCAACAATATCCCTGAGATCAAAACACATTACCATTTGACATAATACAGGCTTGATAGGCTTGTTAAGGATCCAACAGAGGGCAATGCGTGGCATGCAGACCACCTTGTTCCTGTCTATCGAGGTGGAGGTATGTACTATCTTTGTTTCTAAGAGGGTTTTTTTTCTCTCTAGAATTCTAGTGGAATTATTACTGGTACAATTCAATTTCAACGTCTTATTTTATTCAAAATTTTCTGTAGGTGAATGCAAGCTAGAGAACATGAGAACACTTTGTGTGGCTTGTCATTCTGATGTTACTAAACAACAATGTGCTGAACGACATTCAACAAGGATCAAGGCTAAGAAAAAACTAAAGGCAATCATGACTAATCTAAAACATAAAGGCACAGAGACTATTCAACAGGTATGTTCTAAAAGCAGTGGTCTTTTTTCCATATTGCTGAGATGGCTGCCTTGGCATTTCCCTTATGGTAAAATTTGTTGGAATTTGATTAACTGATTTCAGGGGCAGGAGGGGAATGTTGAGATCCAAGAGAGTGTATATGAGGACGAGCTTTTAGTCAAGGTTCCTGGGAGCGCCTACTCTTTAGCGAATCACTTGGATGCTACAATTACAAGTGGACACTTGGACAAGCCCTCCTCGAATGGCTACAAGATTTCCACTCCCACAGTACAGAACCATCCGCCAGGAGTAGCATAATTCATATCTTTCCATTGACAATTTTTTTTTTGGCACATGCCAGCCATTTGTTGTGTTGAGCTAAAAATGAGTATAATCTTATGTAATTGAATTACATCACGAATCACTCCCTCATTGGTGGGCAAAGGTTAATTAAAATTTGTGACCAGTCAGCCCACTACAACAAAGAGTTTGACAGGGTGGCTCAAATTCCTTTTCTCGAGTCTTTTGCCTTGCCTTTTAAAAGTTGATCATCATGTCTTCCACAATTGCCTTCCAATGAAGCTCAGCCGCTTGCCCAACATGCCCATATTCATCTTCCACAAGCTCAGCCGTATGATGTGATGTGGAAGCAGAGCTCTGGCCGCAATCTTGGACTCGCCACTGGCTTCCACATCCTGCGGATGCTGCTTAGCCAAACAGGGCACTTGCTCCAACTCCAGATGATAAACCCCACTTGTTGGAGGACTTGTCGGAACATACAATTGCTTTGCCAGAGGCCAGGGTGGTTTGAGCAGCTCTGGACTACTTGTCATGCAATCCGTTGGTTTAAAAAATGAAATAGTGTAATATGTCAAGTTTAAACTGATTTTAAGAACAAGGGACGTATTAAGGTGAAACAGAGTGAATGAAATGTAATTCTGTATAATATACAAGTATTCTTTTATTGTTAAAACTGTCAATTCTTTACACATGTATATAAGATAGGCAGGCAACAACAATTTTGCCTTCATTCGTGTTACAATACATGTGCGTTTTGCCTTGCCCATTCAAGTCTGATATGTCCCGACCGTCCCTAATAACCCCTCAAAAACTCACATATTCGAAAAGTTAGAATTTGGTAACGTGTTTTTTGGCAAATTATATATGACCTACTAGCTCACTCTATCTAGCCAAAAGAGCTATAACCCTTTGTCACTGATGCCTACATTCCTCATGCCAACTGTCATAAGCCTGTTGCAGTTTCATTTTCTGAGGAAACTTCTGAAAATTTCAGATTGAACGTTTCAACTCAGAAATGAATGCCAGAATGCCAAAAAGGAAACAAAATTTAGCATGCGCACACACCTAAGATGTTCTCTGCTATAAGGATACTCTATCCATGCGCCGTGCGAGCTCATACTTCACCAATTCAGGGTGTCCCACTGGAAAAGAAGTCTTCTGCTCTATCAATGAAGCTGATAGGAAATCTACAATGCAACATCATAGAGGAAGTTTCTGAGACTGGAAGATTATGCTTCAGAGCCGTCTCTTCATAACTCTTTGTTACTTTGCTTTCTCTGTGGCTTCTCATCTTGCCAATTCTCATGCCATTTCCTGAACCACCACCCTTTCCCAAATAAATCCTATTACTTTTGGAATTGTTACGTCCAGATCTTAGGGGAACGTCATCTGCTGGGAAAGTGTCTAAGTTTGAATTGGATCTAACTGCTGGCAAGATATTTCTGCAAGATCGTAACAAGGAGAGTAACATATCTGTACTGATTTCCTGCTGAACCACGCCCTTGTTCTGCTCACACCCATAGCAGGCAGCAACCAGGGTGCCAGCCAAGACTGGCATCAACTCAGGGTCACTGAAGAATACAAACGGTAAATCGCATACCTGGCCACAACCAGCTAAACAATTAGATTTTATCAATAAAAGTTGAAGATAAAAGAAATTTTTAGTCAGAGACTTCACTGACCTTGTGAATGATGGTAGGACTCTTTCCCCAGCGAAGGACGGCCTGATTCCCAAGGTGGAACAAGGCAAAGTGGCCAAGGAGCAAAAGAGATTCAAGCAGAAGAAAACCCACCTGAGACACAACACATTATAGAAAGGTGCAGAGATTGTTTAATTCAACTTCAGCAATGAAACTGTGAATATTCAAGTAAAACCAAAAGAGATGTATAGAATTAAACCGAAAAGTGACATGGATTTATTACCTGATCATTAGCTACTTTCCACTTGCTGGTGCAATGAGACAGAAGGAAACTCATCAAGTGGAAAAATTCCATTTTTAGGTCTGGCCTAGCCTGCAAGAAAAATCAGAATAGTACAAAAAGGGTAAGCTCACTGCACGTTTCAAGATAAAGATTAGAAAATCAGCATGATATCTTAAGAATCACAATGAAGCAAAGTTTGGTAGCCATTATCATCCAGCCAAGATTGAAAGAGTCAAATGGACTTACTAGCGTTCTCTGCATGAATTTAAGATCCAAAAGAGCCAAATTGTTCAAGACCTTCAGTACTCCAGTTGCCACGTCTTCAAAATTAGAGGGAAGGACATCTGAGGTCTGATATAAAATAGGAATTATCTTTAGATTTGGCAAAAATGATGTCATGATCAAGATACCATGAGTAGAAAGCATTACAAGCAGATAAGCATACACGCCAAAGGAACGCTTTGGTGTATGTGTATATTCTTGATCAGTGCAGTAAAATAAATTGATGGCATTTAAAAGGTAATGAGGACCGTATACTCAACATTCGTGTTTGTAAACTGACAAAAATTTCCTTGATCCATCAACCTACCACAACTCTTTTTCAGGGACAGATGATTTGAAATTCAAACAAGCTAAGAAAACACCAGCTCATAACAAAATATGACCAACAAAAATTAAAACTGATAAGAGCACCAAATTATTTACTTCTTTTTCTTGAAGGACGAAGCCAAAAATGTTAATGGCATTGGAAACACTAAATCAATGTTGCAGATTATTTGCAGCTGGCAGTAAAGTTACCTGTTCAGAAGACAATCTATTGTTTGCCTGCAGTAACACAGATGTCAACAGAGATGGGAGGCTGACAAGCCCAGTCTCTGATACAGCAGTAAGCAGAAACGCTACTGGTTGTTCCAAGCTCACGATGATTTCATTCTTTTGTACTGCACCATTATCAACCAAGTGCTTCCCATCCTTCTGTGATGCAAAAGGCTCCACAGTATCCTCACTTGGAATTTTCTGGGTTTCATCTGGAACATCTGTCTTGATTGTGTTATCATTTCTTGCTTCAACCAAACTATTAGGCTGCTCTTTTTCACTTTCCTTACCAGTGGATACTGCCTCAGTAGACTTATTTATCATACATGATTCATCTAACAGACCATCCTCTGGTACATCTGGTAGATGTACAACTGTACCACCATTTTGCACAGATAATGGATGTCTAGAATCTCCCAAGGACTGAGTTGGAGGAAGATCTTCAGTACTATCACCCTCGGGAAATTTAGCCTCTTCACTTCCATTCCCTACCACTGTTTCAATAGGTACATATTTCCAATTGATAGAGCAATTCATTTCAGATCTGGATGTTAAAACAACCAATAAATTTATACTTAAGAGAATTGAAGATGGAAATGGTGACCCTTCCACCTGGGGCCGATCATAAAGTGCAAAGAGATCTCGCAGCCGATGAATAACTTGGTAGGCAATCAACAGCTCAAGCAAGCCATCCCGCATTTGGAGCTGTTGTTCATCAGAACTTATATGACTGACAATTGTTGTCACAGTCCATAAATAACCATCCAGCACCTCGGATATTGATTCAAAATTTTCAGCTGAGGTTTTGCTTGATAGAGAATTACCATTACCAGAAAGGTTCAAGGATACTGCTATCTTAATGTAGCTCTCAAGGGCTGCTGACAGCATCGGAATAATAGGAGGCAAGAGATTCTGTGCGAGAAAATAACTCCTGTTTGCAGGCACAGATAACACCACCCTTAAAAGCTTTAAAAGGTGTATTGTCACTTGGCAGGCTTCAGGTTTCGACGTATGAGAAGCAGGTAGGGCAGAAGCTATGAAATCAAGCAAACCAGCTTGGCGAGAAGCCTGCAGTTCAGGCTCCTTTCCCTCCAAATACTATATCCAAGAACGAGTGAAAAAAAAGAGAGTCAGAGTCAATGTTTACAAGTCAACATAACCATCTCAAAGGGTAAATTTCAAAGTTGGTATTTTCTCACATAACTACATTGGAGCATCAATAAGGCAATTCCAAGCACACAAGATTTATAATACTGTACAACTTAAGCGAGCAACTTTTTCAGTAAAAAAGGAAAAAGGAAAAAACTGACTAATTAAGATACCAATTGGAATTTTGGGGAAAGGGGAGCTATGAGATATTTTCCACAAAAAATCGGACCTCTACAGTGTGGCATACCAAATTACATCCATGCTAAATGCAAAGTACCCAAATTCAGGACATCAGCATCCCATATCTGGCTACACAGTATTAAAAACTTGTAATCCTTGAACTAAATTACCTTGATCATTTCAGCAATTATTAACCCAATACTTGCAGCCCCTTCTTTTCTTGCCTGCCGGAGTCTTTGAAGTTCTTGAAGCCATCTTCCAATCTTTGCCCTTGCAGTTCCCAGTGCTGTTCTGTATCCAATGCTAGCATTTTCAGCACCAACAGGAGGCTCAGGAAATTCATATTTTAGAGCCATAAGTCTTTGCCGAATTCTTTTGATCCTCCGCTTCATTGAATGTTGTGCTGTAACATTGCTTGCCACTAAAGTAGACCCTCCTAAGCCTGAGAAGCTGCTACCTTGATAATCATCACCACTGTTGATTGATGATCTTCCCTGACCCTCCTTGTTCAGATTTCGACGCAATAAAGGAGAAGATTGATCCCTGAAATCCATAGACGCTCTCTCTCGTATCTGCTCCAGGTAAAACTTGCGCCGTTGCTCACTTTCACTAAGTCTCTCAGCCAATTTCTGGGCCAGAAGTTCAGCCTCCTCCTGCTGGGCTTTGGCTCTTTCCTCCTTCCTACGAAGTTGTTCCATGGCCCTTGCTTCACGTGCTGCACTTGACGCTTTGCGCTCCTCTTCCCTTCTAACTTGAGCCTCTTCCTTTCTCCGCTGTGTCTCAGCAAGACGCTGCAACTTTTCAGCTTCAATGAGTTTCCTCCGTTCTAAAACAGCTTCTTCTCTTGCCATATCCTCTTTCTGTTTAGTTCTTATAACTTGAAGTTTTTCAGCTCTCCTCAACTCTGAATCATGAAGCTTCTGGCGCAAACTAAGTTTTTTATTTTCTTCATTTAAGGAAGTTATGAAACGAACCTCGTTAACTTTACTGCTTTCATCACCAGCTCTCTTTACTACTTGAGCTAGAAAAGCTTCATGGCGAGACTCACTGCGTTGATGACGAGCATATATTCCTTCTCGTAACTTCATGTTGCGGACAGCGTGAAATTCACTAGCTCGATACACCTTTTCAGAATTACGATGAAGTTTCTGAGCTCTCTCATTATCTAGCTCACTTTTGATTCTCAGAGCACGGGCATGCTTTTCTTCTGCTTCTCTCTTCAGATCCAATTCTTTTCAGGAGACATTAGTTTATCATGCAACATACGTGCACGGTCAGCACTTTTCCTCCTCATGCCAGGTGAACGTGAAACACGAGAAGAGACACGGAAAGGAGATGAGAGTACATCCTCCCAGTTCCTCTTCTCTTTCCAAGCATCCATGGATTTCCATGGAGCTGAATTCCTCTTTCCTTTATCTTTCTCGACTAGAGGAATTTGCTTTTTGGACTGATCCGTCAATCTGGGGAATTTTTCAACAACACCGTCTATAATCAATTTTTCTTTCTTAGGGAGCAGCCTCTCTGCTTCGGATCCAGACTGCTTACTCTTAGTCTTTCCAGCAGCAGAATTGTCCCTAGGAGGTAGCCTAAATGCATTAACAACAGAAGTAGATGAATTCTGAGGGGCACGTTCAGTTTGTACTAAGTTTGGTTTGCTCGATGACTCAGTACTCCATTTTCCTCCATTCAGGTCAGCGTCAGCGAGATCTGAACCTCCACTCTGTTTTCTTGACTTCTTTATCGAATCTTTAGCATTGCCTTTCTCATCATTTATTGCAGATGACTTATTCAGCTTATCACCAGATCGGAGGTTTAGGTACTGAGGCCCCAGAAGTTTAGCATCATTAGCCGCACACAAGCTAGCTCTTTCTTGTTGAATTTTCTTGAAAGCCTCGAGAGATGACGATAGTATCTCTGCTTTGTGTGCTGAAGTTGTCATTCTTCTAACCTGCACGCAACATTGACTAAACTTTTATGTGACAAATAATTTATTCTTTTTGAAAGTCGAAAGAGAAACGATTTAAAAACCAAATTTTCTGGTCATCTTTGAAGCATAGTTGCTACCACATAGACCAACAGCTCAAACAAGTAAAGAGATGCAAAAGCCATGGTGCGGAAATCGTACGAGTGAGTAAAATAAGGATCAGAACATTTTATTTGTTTCAAGTCTAATAAAACAAGAACTACATTGTCCTATAACCTTTTGCAAGTCTAGATGCCATGCTTCACTAAATTGAATGGCCAATAGGAAGTAGAACCTCTGGAACATAAAATAAATACCCATTAAGCTGCAAACCCAGAAATGTAGATGGAAGTTGTCAAACTACATCACTCGGTGAATTTTTATGCAAACATAATTTCCCCAGGCATTGAAAAAGGTAAACTACCACAAAATCACATTTATAGACTACCAGCACCAAAATTTAATGAACAGTACAAGATGCTAAGATGAAACCTCTTTCTGTATAGGAACGCTAAGAAAATATCCTCTCTCTCTCTCTACACTATAGTAACTTAACATAAAAGATTTCATATAGCTTACCTCCCATGAGAGAGCATGTGGCCTACGGTGATCACTCTTCAACGTAACCGGCACCCCATCAATCAACTGAGAAGATGACCTTTTTATTTTCTCAAAGTCTTCCACTCTGGTGCTTAGATCTCTAAAATCAGAGGCAGCCTCTTCAAGAACAAGAATGGCCTCTTTCATCTGCTCTAAATCGCATTCTAGTTCACAAAGAAGATAAAGTTCGTCCACATCCCTATTAAGATTCTCAAAAAGAAAGCACCAAAGCCGCTGCCTAAACCTTTCTTTGCTTTCCCCTGTGTCGTCTCCAAGGGCACTCATATTTTGTGAGTTTGACATATCATGTATTATACCACATTGTTGATCCCCATGATCCTCAACAGAGGCTGTGAAGGTAGACACTCCCAAAATTTCAGGAGCACTCTCTGGTGGAACTAATCCTTTATCTTCGGCAATATGAACTTCACTTGAACCCCCAATTTTCCCTGATACTTCAGCAATTTCAGGGTCACCTACCTCAGATAGAATAACGGGTGCCTGAAGTTTCCCCACTACCCCAGCCTCTTCACCAGCTAAAGTACGGGTGCTTAAATGATCATCAACTACTGCTTCGATGTGCTCAGTATGTATATCCTCGCAATGCGAAACATTGTTATCCAGATCAACCTTTTTCCCATTCAATATTGGCTCTTCAGCATTTTCAGAAGATATTGTATTCACCTCCTTACAGTTATCTTCACATAATTGGTCCTTAGCAGTCACTGAAAACATCTGATGAGAAACTGTATATGCATCCACAGATTCTGCCACCAATGTGTTTTCTTGTGAATTTGCACGAGAAGCAAAATTATGACCAATTCCATGCTCACTAGAGGCCACCAGATTATCATCTCCAATAGCACCAAACCTGATTCTGGTGCCAACAAGGTTAGCATGAGGAAGTGCCAAACCCTCATCCTCGAGATCACCCCACTTGATTTTATGAACCACTTCAGAGTTATCTTTCGCACGGATTTTCTCAACATCTCTAGTTCCACCATCAGAATTTTTAATAAAAGGAGGTGACTTAGGACATGTAGTGTCTTGCCTAATAACACCAGTATTAATATAGGGTGCACCCATTTTGTTTTCATTTGGGACAGGAATAGAATCAATTCCCCGGCTATGTACCGCATAATTTCCTCGTACCTTTGGAAGCTGGGATCTGCGCTTGCCACAAGAATTTCCACTGTTTTCACTTGATGAGGTCTGACTACTAGAATGGTTAGAAGCATTTTTTCCGGAAAATCCCCCAACCCAACTCTGTAGAGAGAACTTTGAGCTACTTCTATTTTTCTGGACAGGAGGCAAACAAATAAAAAGCAAAGTTCTAGAACGTGTCAGTGACACAAGAATGAATCTATTACGTTATGGTAAAACATGTAAATCTACAATATTAGGTTGATATCTATGTATTAGTAGCATGAAAATGTTACATCTAAAAATATAATAATGAGAAACCTGCGCATTCATTACTTGAATTGATTGATATGATGAATACAAACAAACCTGCGATCTCTACACTTTAAGCTCCACTTATACATTTCAATGAAGATAATGCCAAGTTAGTTGCTTTTTTCAGTAAGACTCTATGAGCTTCAATTACTATATAATATCAAAATCTCTAACATGTATATTGCAACTTCAAATAAGTTTGGTGAAACCATTTCATTGTTAAGAAAAAGAAATTCCATTAAAATAAAATAAGCAGATCCCTATTAAATTTAGACCTAATTATCTCCAGTGAAATCTGCAACATTGCATTGCATAATGGATGCTAAGGTTGGTAATGGAAGACCAATGCGGCAATAGTAAACCAAACGAGAGAGAGAGAGAGAGAGAGAAAGAAAAAAAAAACACCTTTTTCACTTCGAACCATCCAGAGCCCTCATCATCTACTGCTTCTCCACTGTTCTCCATTCCCAATTGACCAAACCCCAATTACATTCAGCCCAAATAAAAAAAGAAGACGAAAACAGATTGAATTTACAAACAAATTTGGGAAAGTTTGGAACTTTGGTTGATTTTATTTTATTAAACAATTTTGGGAGGGTGTTTTGAATAATATAAAGGGAAATGACAGCTCAGACAGAAAGAAGCTCTGAGGAAACGGAATTTACAGGGAATTGGGAATGTGGGAATTGACTTTTGTGTTTGAGAGAAGCGAATTTGAAGAAAATAGAGTTTATTTTTTGGGTGTAAGGTGGTGGGAGGGAAGAAGAGAGTGTGAGACGACAGTCGGTGAAAGAGGAAGGCGTTGCACAAACAAAGTTATTTTACTGATTTGCCCATGTTGTTCAAAGATACGACATTTTGAGTTCGTCGTTTCATTTCATTGCCACCCTCCAATTTAGCTTTTCTGGGACCTTGACCAGTGGAGCCTGAAACCCAATCACTAACTTATTGGGCTTCTTGCTTGATATAAAAGTCCATTGGCCAAATTTGGAGCTGCTGCAATTAGATGGACATTGGATGTGTTTTTGTAGTAGCATTAGACAAAATTACATGGAAGACAATGTTTTCGATAAAAATATGGAATGTACTTCCCTTCAGGACAGTAACATGTCTGCAAAAGTTCTTATTTTTTGTATTTTTGATAAATTATTTCACACAAGTCAAACCGCGATTTGAACGAAGAAGGAGTATCTCATTCCACGAAAGAAGGCAAGTAATATCCTAAAAATATTGAAGATAGACAAATGGTTTCCTTTGAATTGTGAGGCGAGAGGAGCCTTTGGTTGTAACTTATAAGAAAGGCCCCCAATTGAACCAGTAAGATTGAGTTCCAAGACATTGTTGATCATTAGTTGTGTTGATCAGTTTATCTTTCAATATTATTATCAACACATATTGTCTTGACTTTCTTTAGCACCGCTTGGAAACATGAATCATATATAGCTGTTGATACTTCAACAGCACTTGTTAGTTTAGGACTTGTAGTTGAGAATGATTTCAGTTTAGTTTACAATGGAAAAGAGTTTGCTTGTGGTGTGGCTGTAGGTGGGCCCTCCAAATCCAATTTTAACCTCGCCAGCCATGCAATCTCTGTGAATTCATGTACGAGTAGTGAACAGAGGAGAGGAGTTTCATGATTGTCACGCAGTCACGCAATGGTTTCCTTTGAATTCTGAGGCGAGACGAGCCTTTCGTTCTGATGCAGACATAAGGGCATAATACGAGGCAAAAACTTCAATGTAAATCAGTAAGATTGAAGACATAGCCATAAGGCGAGGCAGTAGTTTTCACTTTAATAGCAGATAGCAGAGGATGTTGTTGGCTAGCCTGGACTGGACATAGAGGAAATAATTCAAAATAAAGGAATCTAATAAAGGAAACTAAATTAAAAGGCTATTCCAATCCAAATTCAACAGATTTGGTTGATATTCCTAATTGCCACCACATTCACACCAGTTGAAGTTGAGTGTCATTCAGTCGACTACCTCAAGAGTTTGAAACTCCTCTCTGTGAGTGATGGCTGCTTCAATGAGATGGTGTGGGCCAATTTCCCCACCATTTTTCAAGAAGGACTTGAACATATAGATATTGTCGGAGAAGCCACTCATGATCGTGAAGCCTGGATGTTGTGTACAAATCCAGGGATGCTCGTCCTCTTTCAAATACAGAATGTGTGGAATCGCCTTATTCCTAAACTTGCTCCGGATTTCCTCAAAATAGTTCCTTAGTGTGTCGTACTGAATGCCCCATATGCAGTTATCAGGAGGTTCTAGAAAGTCGGTGAACATAATCACCTTCTTGATCATCTGCTCTGCCTTCAAGTTCTCATTCACAGCCACTTACAGAATCAAATCAAACACCTCTAAAATCTTACATTCCTTATTAGGTCCCACGCGGGAGGTCCTCACTGATCTCATAAATTCGAACTTGGACGTAAGATCATGTCCTTGTATGATTGTATCAATTCTAGATGATATTTTCCACCACTGTATTTTATCATCTTTCCTTTCCATGGCTCTTCACTCACTTCAGACACCAGAATTTCCAACCCCACCTCTGCATAGCACTCCTCTGGATAGTTCCGCTCTGGATAGCTCAGAGCAACATAGCCCACCACCAAGCAGTTTTTAAATTTGCTCAAACCCTCCCCGGGCGTTTGTTGCTGCTTTATGTCCTCCACCACTGCCTTCCACTGAAGCTCAGCCGCTTCCCGTACATCCCCCTTTCTTACATATTTTATGATCTCATTTGGAAGCAAAGCATCCGGCTGTATTATTCCACCTCTTAGATTGCCTCCTGCTTCTGCAGCTGCCGCCTTCACCTCCTCCAAATTGTTAGCCACACGGCGCTCTAGGGCTTCACGATGGTAGCAAGCGTCGGAAAGGTGCTCTCGGTATTGACGACTGTAGTACTTGGTCAAGGGCACCAAAACCTCCTTCCTCAGCCGTTCCCACTCTTGTAGTTGATCTCATTCCGGAGGGAAAAGCCTCCTCCCGATGCTTTCACGCAGCAAAACAGAGCGGGCGCGGTAACCCTTTGCGGGGTCTTTGTCAGTGCAACACTTTGCAGCCGCGGATACGAAAAGATCAACATCAAGTTGGTCGCAGTAGTCGTCGTGGTCATCATCATCACCGTCAGTTAAATAACCAGAGACCCAGCCTGGCACCCAGACCCGCCTAGCGCCGCCCAGAACCGCCTAGCACCGCCCAGACCCGCCCAGGCCACCTAAGCCGATTTCAACAAGAGGGGATGTGTAAAGTTTTGGAATTGTAGTGATGGAAGGAAGCCAACAGAACAGTGGTTGGTTGGTTGGTGCTCTCTCTCTCTCTCCTCTGCTGGGAGGACTGATATCGATTTTCTTGGCTAGAGTTATTGGAGAAAATGATTCTAGAAATGATTATGGATTCTGGTAGTGACTTGAACAGCAAGGAGTTCCATTTTCCTCCTTCTCAGGCCAATAACACTTGTTCTACCATATATTTCCACCTTCTATATCCGGGCTGCGCCATTCAATTCGAGTATCTCTTATTTCAGGGTAATCAAGTAATTTCAAAATCCCATTTAAGGTTAATTAGCCTACCTAACTAACTACCCTCTTATTAGTTACCATAAGTAAGAATTTGACTAATATTATTCTACTAAAACCTCAAAGAATTTCTTATGGTGATTGTAATATATATATATGAATTAATTTAAATTCGTTTTTGGATATTGCTTTCATGTCACCCCTTTGTGTTCTCATTATCTGTGGTTTCGAAATAAAACTTTGGCTAAGGCTTGCTAGCTGTTTTTGTTTGATAAGGTAGTATTTTGAGTTTCAAATACCTACCGTGTAAATATCTTACATGCATTTGCAGTAATTGCAGTAGAATTTAAGGTGTCAAATAGTCATTAATTCTATTGCTATCATGTCCTCAATTAACACACAAAATCAAATCAACAGTCATTAATTTCTTTTTTAATGAAAAACAATTTAGAATCCGTAGTGGTATTGGAGATTTGATCATGTGGAACTGTTTTCCCTTTCTCATTCCTATCAACATTGCACAATTCCCAAATGAACTTTTAGGGGGCAATGACTAAGATTGAATTGCACGCCAAAACTTAAACACAATATCAATCCACATAATATAATAAATCAAATGATGCTTAGGAATCTAGCTAGTGATAATCCAGTCCAACCCAAGGGATTGATCGATCATCATTACTTTAAGTTGAGAGGTTAGTCGACTACAACTAAAGTTTGATACTCTTTGTAAGCGATGGCTGCTTCCATGAGATGGTGCGGACCAATTTCCCCGCCATGTAAGAAGGACTTGATCAAATTTTCGGAGCCTCCTCTTTTGTTGGACAAGATGAGCCTCGGAATGAAGGTAGTGGTAGGTGGGCCTCTTTCTTTTAAATGCAGGAAAAACAAAGGGTTAATTAAAAGAACTTTGGCTGGCACCAAAGACTAATTATAGAATTAATTATATAATATTGCAGAGTATGGAATGGAAGGAATAGTTTCAACAAGAGGGGATGTATACAATTTTGGTGTTGTCCTGATGGAAACATTCACAAGAAGGAAGCCAACAGATGAGATGTTTGTTGGGAAAATGAGTTTAAAGCAATGGATTGCAAATTCACTATTACCATATGCAACAATAGATGAAGAGTTTGGACAGCCTCTCTGTCTTTTGTTTTTTCCCTGTTTATGTTTCGTTTGGGCAGCTCTCTGGTTTTGTATTAGTAATACCCAAGAACCAATGTAGGGCTATGCTATATCCTTAAGAATTTTAAAAATTATAGTATAGCCGCCCGGCTATACTATTGTTATTTTTTCCCCCCTAATTTCAAAGATAACCTGATTCTTACATCATTTGGCCTTTCATGAGATGAAGTTGGTTCTATATGAAGGAAAATAAGATTGTTTCATAAAGATAATAGACTATTTAAAGAATTGTCGTGGCTTTACTCATTAAGTAATACTAAGAGTAATTTATAAAACGTAATAATCTTTCAATTTGATTCTAGAAGTCGACAAGAAAATTTGAATGGTGGAAAAAAAAAAAAATGTCCAACCAAACTATATGTTTAATTAGTCGAGGATTAAACTCTCGTTTGATAATTTATGTATGTATATTGTTAAAATCATTAGAAAACATTATATAAGCTACTCATATGTAGACAAGAAAATAATATTATACAGCTGAATTGAAAAAAAAATTCAAACCTCTATACATAATCAGGAGATTTGGACCTCATCGTGATCAAGGCTATAGCCTTTTGAAAGTGAGAACCTATCTGTTGTAAAATTGGCTCACATTTAGTATGCAAGTGAAGGAGGAGGCGACCAGTCGCTGGGTATTTGCGACCGGTCGTTTTGAAGCAGATTCGAAGTCTGGAGGAGAAGCTGGAAATCGTGACCAGCGACCGGTCGCAAGGTGAAAGCGACCGATCGCTTTCAGACAGATTGCAATGCGACCGGTCGCCAGGAACGTGAGACCGGTCGCCAGACGTGCTGTGTCGTTTTTCCATGCGTTTTTCAAGGTGCATTTCACATGTGTTGGTTCCCTACCTAATCCCTCGAGCTTCCAAGAGTTTTATGGGTTCTAGGAAGTTTGGCAAAGTGCCTTAGAAGCTGGAACACCATTTAAATGATGTTTGTTGTCTTGTACCAAAGGGTTTTCTAGGTGGGAGACAAGGGGACAAAGGGTGCATGCTTTATGGCTTGTTTTCTGGTTTGCCTAGCCTTGTGTTTAGTTTGGTAGCTGAAAGCAAGAACGTGAAGGAGTAATTGCAGCCCTCTACTAAGTCCAAAGGTCTGCCTACAAAAGAAAGTGAAGATGCAAGACAAAGTGTGGTTA